TTTGTGTGTGCAAATTTGAAGAAGGACGCTTTGCATTGAAACATCTCGCTTTTCATCTAAAAAACTGTAAATTTAAGCTCAAAACATAAGAAGTGTCATTTTGCACGTCTAGTCTAAAATGCATCAATGCAGTTTACTAGTTCAGTGAAACTATTGATTTTTAAATAAAGTTTTGCTTTACTGTGTTATGGTGTCATGTTGAATCAGTATTTAGTTGAATAGGAGACATTTCGTGATTTAGTGGCATTAATCATTTTTAAGTGAGTATACGATACCTTATTGAAATTGCTAGTTTTTAAGTAAACAGAAGATGCAAGAATATCTTCACTTAAAAACAACCAAAAAGTTGATATGGATTCGGCAGCTTTATATGCATGCTCCAGCCACTGAAGTGTGATTTGAATTAAAGAAAAGTATTAAATTATCAAAAATGTAGCCTCTTTACTCAAGTTTTATCATCCAAAAGAAGGAAACCCAAATGTAAATGTAAATTATAAAATATCTAATAAATATTTTTAGATAAGTTAAAGATCATGTGAAACACCAATATGTCCTCTTTCCAATGATGTACCTTGATTGTGTGTCTATGGCCACGGATGACTGAACATTCATTGTTATTCTGTCAAGGGTCAAAACCTGCTGGGCCAAGTTTGTGCAAAAAGGTAACTGGTATACGGCTTAATTTAAAGAAAGAAGACATCCTTTTCTTCAAAACATTTTTTTCAATTTTGACAAAGATTTAACCACTCTCAGTGTTGAATTTAACCCCTCATGGCCTAATGCCTTCAACGTGGCCACCACCTCTTTCTACACAAAGCTCTGCACGAAGTTTAGTCCATTTCAAGCTTTGCATAACAAACCAGCCAGCAATCTTGAGCCAGGTAAAACTTGGCCCAATACAGGTTTTGACCCTTGACGGAATAATAACGAATGCTCAGTCGTCCGTGGCCACAGACACACAATCACGGTATCATTGGAAAGAGGACACATTGGCGTTTCACATTATCTTTAACATATTTGAAAATATTTATTAGTTCTTACATCTGGTTTTCCTTTTTTTTTTATACACCCTGTATATCTGAACTCCCATTATAGTGTCAACTTCATGCCAACATTATGGTATTAAGTAAAGAGGCGCGCAAATCGCAAATGCCCACGCGCAGAAAATACGTATAAAAGTTCTATGGATTTTGTGCCATATTTTATGGATTTTGTGGTCATTATTTTGACGTCACAAAACAGGTTCTGTTTGTGAGGACACACCCACGTGGCCGACGTTTTAGCATGACGTCACAGATGCGTTAACACGCTTGTCCAATCATTGGACATAATCTGTTCTCTAGCAATGGAAAATGTTTGGTAGTGCGCGCGCTAATAATCCGCGCGCGTCCGATTAACACAAACGGTGTTTGCGTATTGCATTCTGACGTCATGTTGGGTAATGTTTCCGTCGTTTCCACAACACAAACGCCCGGACGTTATAAATAACATACGCTTTACGCATAGCGTTGACTTTCAAAATTCGCTTTTCAAGTGAGAAGGTCTCCATAACGATTGCTGCGGCAAAAGTTGTGTTCAAAGTGCGAAAATTGCGCGAAAATATTGACAATTTTTCGAATCGAGTTTATTGACGATTTACTGACCAACCACTGAGGTGAAAATGTAAGTTTCGAAATGGTATTTTTTTTAGTAGTGGGAATGTTATACAAAGATGAACTTTAATCAAACCAACATCCAGATAAGAAAGCTTTGAAATAATTTTCAGTTAAGTTAGGCCCATGTGCATTTTAACTGCTTGGAAAAAGATTAAAGGCCCACAATTTATTGTGACAGTCATGATTTGTTGTTCATCGACGTAAATATTACTGTTATATTTTTTGGCGAATTGACTTTTATACTAGAGGTATCTTGTCACTGTGTATGTCCTTTTTCAACTGAAAAAAAGTTCATCATTATTAAACTTTTCATAAACTCCAATTACAAAGATTATTGCAAAATATTTATCTCAACCAACGCAGATCATTATGAACCGGAAATCGGATCGATATTTTCACGGGCCTACCGTGCCATCAAACCACCCATACAGCAGAGGGAAAAGCACGTGAGTTTTCTTCTTTTTAGACTCGTGCCCTCTTTGTAGAAATCTCACTGACTTACCGAGTCACTAACTGGCTAACTGTCACGTGACCCGGGCAGTGCTATCGTAAAGGATTACCCCGTGACGCCAACGAATGGGATGAATCCGGCCCGTTTGGGTACGGACCAGCTGCATGAAAAAGACTTCGACGGAATGGCCATTCCGGATCAATATTGTTGTCTAGAATTTTGTGCGCTGATACCAGCTTTACTTATGGGTGCATACCTGCAAATAAACTCCCATAGACACTAGTGCTAAATGCCCATACTTCAAAATTCTTTTAAAAATACTCAAAACTCTCACAGGTATTCAAGCTGCACAGAAAAATGATGATCAATGTGTCATCTTTCAATTTCTTTTCAATTTATGGTGGGTTGACCATTGACTTTTCGAGATATTATCACGCAAAGAAGACGACCCCTATTTTCCCCAAAGCGGAAAAGTAGCCATCTTGAAAAACGATCCCTCCACAACATGGCAAAATAGCGCCACTTTCGAGCCCAATATCATCCAAAATGCTCAGAATTGGAAGCCCCAAGTCCGGGCCAGAGGTTCACTACCATATCTCTTCAATTCCCCAATTTTACGGCGCTCAGAACTCTCTAATATAGAATATTTTGAGGGTATAACTTTTATTCATGAGCTTGGCGGATCGATTTACCGGTGTGTACCCTTATAGGATTGCTTTGGTTATGTTGTTTTTGTTTTGTTTTGGGTGGTGTCTTAAAGAATCTGTAAACCCATAAGTAAATGGTAGACTTGATCTTGCTCTACAACATACCTTTGAAGCGGGTTATCCTCGTCATACCTCGAGTGCCAAGTTTTCCCTCGTTACTAGTCAAGCACAGCGATGATTCATACGGTTGTCTTGTGCCGTTAAGGTTTTACCGTGTCTTCACGCTGCCGCTGCGCCGGCTATTCCTCTGCTGCACCCCGGGCCATGACGAGCCCTACCAGCCCCAACCCAAACCCTTCGACCTCGGTAGACACCATCAACACGGAGGTGCGACCAAAAGCCCCCCAAGTAAGGATGGGACGAGACCCAGCAAACGCCTCTCTGGGCGCAAGGTGGCGCCCTACCCCGAGGGGTCGTCTCTTCTTTCTCGTCAGCCATTGGTCAAGTCTGACCAGGTAAAGACTACACAGGAGACTAAAATCTTCCCTTTCAGAGATTTGCATTTTTAAAGTTATTCTCAACACTATGAAGACTTGTGCATTATCTGAAAAGTTCCTTAATGTACAAAGTAATTCTGTACTTAATTCTAAGGGAATTACACAGCCAAACTAGTGTAAGTTGGACAGGTTAATATGTATTCCAAAGTACAAGCCTGTTGAAGTGTTAGCCCATAACTGTATTATTATACACATAACAACTACCTTGAATATTGCCAACAAACACCGGCAGGTTATTCGCTCCCACACCTGCATCTACAGTGCTGTCTTTGGTGATATTTTTTTCATTGTTGAATATTAATTATTGATTCATCATTTTGCCACACAGAGTACAACCAAACAGCAACGAGCGCGACAAGACATCACACACGGTGCGCGTCCGTCTGCTAAGACCCTGAACAGAAAATCCCACCGTGATGTCGATGATGTGTCGGTCCAGGCTAAAGACCCTCAAGCATCTACGAGGAGTTCCAAGAGATGCTGGGACCCTGGACAAGTGGGCGTGATCTTGCTCCGACACGAGCAGAAGACTACATCATCTGAAGCAGCTAAGAAGCCGAGAAAGAGGTGAGAATCACGGTGTTGCATATTCATGATGTTGCATATGCATAATATTGCATATTAATCATGTTGAATATTCATCGTAGCTCCTGACGATATAATTCTGAGTAATGTTTCAGATATCGCAAAAGTCCACGCAGAACTTGAGAATTTTAGAAACTGGCCACAAAATTAGTGAACATGTAGCGTCTGATTCTACCCCCGAATCTGGCCCAGAATTAAAATATCACGTGTGCTCTTGAAGTGTTTATGTCATTGTTGTTTTTGTTTATCAACAAATTATTGATCAATAGCAAAAAAGGCTCCAAGAAGCGAAAATCTGGGACGAAAGGCAAGAAGAACCAGATTCGCCCATTGCCTCCTCTTCCGGTCACCATAGCAACCGCAACCGACGACGAGCAGAGTGCAAGAAACCCGTCATTGCTTGATGCTGCTGTCCGGCCAACACGCACTCAGAAACAAGGGGAAAAGGTAAGCATACCAGTGAGGGAGCATTTGAGTTTAAATTTTCCCAGATGGACAACTTCAAAACACTCAGCTTCTTTCCCGCAAATCATACAGGCTTTTATTTTGACTGTTCACCAAGCACCCTTCCCTGAAAATGAAATTCCTAAGCTTTAGAGTGCAAACAACAATTGGCAATATTCAATTAATAAAATCACACTTGTAGGTTTTTCCCCATGCAGGAGAAGCAAAACTTCACCAACGAGTATCGGCCAAAACAAGTGCAAGTCTTGCCCGCCAATCGCGGCACTCGAACAGATATTGTTGTGACCAAGATGATGCCCGCTAGGCAAGATAGTCCCGTGGTGGACAACTTGACAACCAAGTATTCTGAGAGGAAAGGTCATCAGGCGGGAAGACCCCTTACGAAACTGAACAACAAAGATCTCCAAAATAAAGCAAAGGTATGCCAAATGTTTCCCTCTCTTTTGTAGATCGCAGTTGGTCCACCATTTTGCTAGACTATGTTTTCATGTTGCTAAACTATTTTATTCTTCATGGGTGTCTCAGATAAAATACTCTTTAAAAAAAAGATTATCTTCATGGAATTTGGAATCACAAAGTGAGTAAGTCTTTTTTCTCCACAACGTAGAAGTCAACTGGAGACGAAAACATTCCGAAGCCAATGGTGGTGACCGTTAAACCGGTTCCCAAGCAGATCCAAAACTCACCACAGGCTCCACGGAAAGGACGTCCATACGACAACCCCGCCCCCTTCGTCTGTCGACCGCTCCCGGCGCTTCCACCCTCGGTTGCCGCTCAAAATGCCCGCAACCTTTTGCCAGTGAAACCTAAACCAATTCTTCAGAACGGTGCACAGTTTCAACAGCCGAGGAAACCCAAGAGGCCTGCCGAGCCGGGGAGATTGACCCTGATTCCGCTGACGACCAACGGCTTCACCAGAGAACTGAAGTGCACCGTGTACAGACCGTCCGATTTCGAGGCGATCACGGTCAACGGAGCGGCCGTCACGCTCGGCCAAGGGACCTTCGGGGAAGTGAACCTGATGCGGCTGCTGAGCTCCAAGCGCCCTCTGGTAGCCGTCAAGTTTTGCAAATCGCATCTGGTTCAGGATGGTGATGTATGGAGGGAGGTAGCCGCCATGCAGGCTGTTCAAGACCACTGGGCCTTCCCCAAGCTGTACGGAATCATCAGGAGCCAGAGGAGCCAAGATCTCTCCGCCATCGTAATGGAGTTCATCGGGAACACCAACTCCATGATGGGAATGTCTGTGGCTGACGCCATTCGCTCCAAGAAGTACATGCCTTTCAAACACAACTGGGTGTGGATCGCCAACGATATCGCGAGAGGGCTTGCCCATCTCCACTCGAAAGACTACCTGCACTGTGATTTGAAGACAAACAACGCCCTCTTGTGGCGTGGCCCGAACAGAAACATGTGGCGGGCTAAACTCATCGACATGGGCAAGGCTTGCAAGAAAAACGAAGCCAAGGGGCCCATGTTCCTCTCCAAGGCAGAACAGAGGGAGACCGCCCAGATCTTCCCACATGTGCCCCACGAGGTCCTCGCGGGGGAGGTAGGTTACACCGTGGAGGGCGACATCTTCTCGTTGGGTTATCTGCTGTTGCAAATAGCGCAGGTCAGCACCCTGAAAAAGCCAATGAAGAAACTTGGGGAACGCTGTAATGGCACCAGACCAAGGTCTCGCCCCGCCCTGTCACGTGTCATCCAGGAGCTAACCTCTTTCGCCGTCAACGGATGTTGAGAAGTACATGTAGGGGTGCACACCTGTAAGACCTAAACCCATCCGCCGAGCTAAAAGTTATACCCTTAAAATATTCTATATTAGAGAGTTCTGAGAGCCATTTAATTGAGGAATTAAAGAAATATGGCAATGAACCTCTGGCCCAGACTTGGGCCTTCCAATTCTGAGCATTTAGCAATTGAGCTCGAAAGTGGCGCTATTTTTTCATGTTGTGGAGGGATCGTTTTTCAAGATGCTACTTTTCCGCTTTGGGAAAAATAGGGGTCGTCTTCTTTGGGTACGAATTTCTCGAAAAGTCAAAAGGTCAACCCGCCAAAAATTGAAAACAAAATAAAAGATGACATAATCGTCATTTTTCTGTGCAGCTTAAGTACCTGTGAGAGTTCTGAGTATTTTTAAAAGAATTTTGAAGTATGGGCATTCAGCACTAGTGTCTATGGGAATTTTAGTACACTGTTGCACCCGTAGGGCCTATAATGAAGTCATATAGTCTAAACGCACCAATCAGTTCTTGCTCGTTAATTGTTTAATATGCTTTAACCAATCCGAAACCAACTTTTCAGTATGGAACCGCTCACTGAATTGCACAAAAAGGGCGGTGCGTTAAATAAAATAGTGTCTCTCGCACGGAAACGAACAAACGGTGCACTTTAAATTTCGTTAGATATAGAGGGCGCGCCACATAAATAAAATTACCTTCACTGACAAAATGATAACCACTCGGATGCCTCACTTTTAAACAGAAAGAACGCACTCGTGCTTAGCGGGCAATAACACAAACAATACCCGCTGTGTTTCATTGCTATTTCGTCCAATGATATGACATTATATGTCATTTAAAAACCGTCAAACAATTTTTAAAAAAAATATGACCCGAAACAACGCCCAAAATATTAATTTTTCATGGAAAAATAACACACTCGTTGTTTTGGGGGGCAATAACCCGACAAAATAATGCCAGTTATATTAAGTTCAAATTTCGTTTTAGTGACCAGTCTTGTTGTGTATAACATGAGGAGATTCAATTTCATGAGAAACGACAAACAATTAAAATAATATGACCGAAACAAAAATGTTTTAAACGCCAAAAACTACAATCTGAATGCCAACGTTCATGTTTCGGTCATAATATTTTAATTGCTTGTTGGTTTCTTACAAACTTTAATCTGTTAATGTTACACATTATGACAAATCGTCGGACGAAATTGCAATTGAATACAACTGGTATTTCCTGAGTTATTAATAGCCAGAAGCATGAGTGCGTTCTTTTTGTTCAAAAGTGAGGCATCCGTGTTTGATGCTTTGTCAGTGGTTGTAACCACCACTATTTATGTGGTGCGCCCTCTATTGAAAGAAAATTCAAGTCGACCGTCAGGCACGTTGGACAACATGTGCTGGACAACATGAAAGGGTGCATTTTTGAAGCTTTTATGAATGTTCTCCTGTTATGAGTAATTCATTTACACTCTCGGAAAGTTACGAGTTGACCTTGCATTCATTTCTTGGTTCTTCACCACAAAATTCTGAGGGGGGTGATCACATATTGCCTTCCATGGGGGGGGGGGGGGGGGGGGGGGGCGGTTCCCCTCGGATTAACGACCTTGCAGACAAAAAAGAACGTATTCAGTGAAGAAACAAGGAGTAGAAAACGCTCATATGGTTTTACATTTTGATGACAAGGATAATTTTTGAGAAAAAAAATTAAGAGATTTCTTTTCTTAACTTTTTGTTTGTTTGTTTGCACTTACCGGAATTAGGTTATGTGCCTTAAAAATATTTTGATTGTACATAAAGGCATCCCAAATTGTTGCAGCATTATATATCATTAAAAAATTAATTTCATGTCACATTTTTTATTTATAGATCCGACATGCAGATCATGGAGCTCTAGCCTGAAAAGTTAATAGTTTTTGTCAATTTTATAAGCTGATTGAAACTTGGATTTGGAAGCATACCGAAACATTAAGAATCATTATTAAAACGATCGTTATATTTAAATGCATGTAATGTATTCTTGTTGAAAAAATGTATTTGCAAAATAAAAAAACCTCGGTAATGGAGAAAGAACCTGATAAAACGGTTTGCAGACGTTTGACCTTTTATTTAGGGTCTTTTGTTAATTGCCACTGCAGGTTGTAATTTTGACACTTGACATACAATCAATTATGGTATACGTACGGTCCGCGGTTTAGTTCATTCACACTGCACCAAGGCAACGAAGAAACGCTGTTAGACTGGTACCAAGAGGCCGTTACTGCAAGCACTAGATCTGCTTTATTGAAGTCGGGGTAACAAGCAGCATACGAGGATTTATCCACTCTGAGAAAAGAGAGCGGCCCAAAAGACCCTCAAAAATCCCTTCTTTTGAGTGTCAATGAGGCGTATAATTTACCTGTTTGGTAAGTACATTGTATTAAGCATTTGCGTTTATGTATTTGGAGTAATTTAGAGCAGTGGAAATAGAAATGATCGTACATTTTGTGATTGACTTTCGACATGGCCGGCTTCTGAAAGTGAAACGTGGTGTAAATAGGGGCCTAATTGGGATATTGGACTTTGGAGCATGGAGGAAGGATTACTCGCTGACGAATCGTTCTCAACTACAGACTAAGTTCACCAGAAATTTGTTAACATTCATTGCTGCAATGTCCGTAGGGGTAGATTTGAATATCCTCACGCCAATTGTATTCGCTATCACTATTATTTTAGGCCTAGCCTAAATAAATGTTAAAACAGAAATAAAATCAGTTTAATTTAAGGCCTAGTTCGTATTAAAACAAAAATGAATAGGCCCTGGTTTCTCGTCTGGAATTTTCTAAAAAAAAAAAAAAAAATGAAGGAGGTGACCCCTTTCTTGTTTTTTTTCTCCCCAAGATGGCAAATTTTCCAAGAAGGCCGATGGATTTTTTCCATTTTCTCGACTGTTTTGCTGATAAATACAAAATTTATTCCAATGGAGCCATACCCCTTTGACGTCATATGGCCTAGCTACAATTTTGTTGGGAGCAAATAAAAAGACAACAGGCCTAGTAATATTGACAATAGGCCTAGCTTTATAGGCCTATATGTGCAAAATATATTGCAAATGTATGATTTAAAAAAAAGACGAAAAATGGAAGCGGGCGATGAAAAAGGAGGGCGAGATTGAGAAACTTTTTTTGTTAATGCTAGGACCTACCCCTAGAACTATGGCGCTCCATGCTCCTCTTAGTTACAAGGAGCACCATAGTTCTAGGGGTAGCTAGGACCTAGGCCTCTTATATGTTTTTTTTTCATGTGCCATAAGTAATAACGTACGGGATATTCTGTATTGAAGGAATGTGTTCATCGGTAGTTTTCCCCTTAATTCTTCAATCTTATGTCCCAGTTTCTTTCCAAGTCATTGTCTTTCCAATTAAATCTCTTATATTTTAATTTCATTTTGAATCTCCCCCAGGATTAACTGGTTAACAAAAAACCTGCGTCCCGTCCGACAATCTTGAAATTATTGCGTCGCCATGGGTTGTGGCGGCTCCAAATCCATGAATGTCCCCTCTGGGCCCTCGGACTACAAGTACATGGTCCAGCAGACGTGGGACCACGTGGGCAAGACGTTGGCGAGAGGAGCATCCAAAAAGAACCTGGTCATCAAGCGGTCGGGATGGAAGACGATTCGCGTCTTTGTGTCCTCCACGTTCAAGGATTTCCATGCCGAGAGAGAAATACTGGTCAAGGAGGTGAGTTAATCCAACCGTTGAAGGGCCCATATGCAATGTAAATTTTTTTTTTAATGCGATCCTTGAAAATGCATCATTGTGTCCCATTTAACCTTATTTTCAATTTTCGTTCTGCCATTTTCAAGGGTATTTTGGTGCCTTTTTTGGTTCTTATGTAGTGCAAATTTCCATATTCATGAGCAAAAGTGTGATGTCATTTCAGGCAGCAACCTCAATATTTACATATATTTCAGCACCGAAAGAGGCCAGAATTTTGGATATTTTGCTGTTGTGAATTTCCTTTTCTTTGTCAATTCGTTTTTGTCATGGCAGTTAGTATGCCGATTTAAGCAAACTATTCTCACGGATGCTTTCAATGAGCAAATTTTGGGCTTCACAATTTGAGCGGAAAACCTCCTAAACTGAACAGTGTCTTCCTGAAATGACATCACAGCATCCGGAGGAGCATGAACAGGACTTTTTTTAAAAAATATTTAAAGAAGTGCAACATCAGGCTATCGTGTTTAAAGCTCTTTCATGTTTAAAGTCATTCTAAGCCACCACAAAAATAAACAGTCAGCGGCAATTTAGAAAAAATTTGCCAGTCTGAAATGATATTGCAGAGTTTATTCGGTTTTCCCCATCTCTCAATGCAAAAAAAATTTATAAGCTTACCTTTTTGTGTTTGAGCTAAGTGAATATTACAAGGAAAATGGGAGAAAAAAATGATATTTAAAGTGTTTCATTGTGAAACCTATTTGAAATATGAAGTCTGTACGACTTTAAATAAAATGATTTTGGTGGCGATGGATTTCATGGTTAATATATTTTTTCTTTGCCTCAGGTTTTTCCTGATTTGAGACAGTGGTGCGAGACTAGACGATTGCATCTTGTAGAGTGTGACCTGCGTTGGGTAAGTTTGTACAATCTCTTTTGCTCTCTATCCCTTTTCAGGAACGTTTGCTGATTTTTCTTAGTAAAGAAAAGAAAACATTGCCTTTCTATGTGGACTTCATGTTTCACTCCATTATTTTCCCTTTTGTATGTTTTAAAAGTGTGCTGTCTTACAGGCAGAGCGATTAGCCAGTGAGTGATTTATTTGCAAAACGAAGAAAGAAAAATACATTTTTTATTCATTTAGGTATTTTTTCAGTCAGAATCTTTATTTCCAGAGTCTGAGTTTACCCTTAGTTTTAAGTAGCGCTAATGTGCACAGAAAACATGCATTTAACAAAATCAATATTTTATTGAATAGATTTTAGATATAGCATTTCACCGCAACATTGTTCTGACATTCTTTCCAAAATCAAGCAGTCCGTGACCATCTCTCGTTACTCGAAACAAGCACCAGACGAGAATTTCCCAATGCTTAAAAAGAGCTCTTTCCATTTTTTCGTTGTGATTACGTTTTAAGTTGTTAATAGATTATTGACGCAATTTGATATCAGTTAAATACCCTTTTAGACTATTACCCAATAATTTTCTGGAAAAA